ATTTGTTGAAAAATATTATTCTTACCTTTGCAAATCATCAGTAATTAATTCCCTTGGAAATATCTGCTGCGGCACGCAGCCAACTTGGGAGGCTGCTGACAGATCATAGTTTTACATCAGGTGCTAAAAAATTGATTATTAAATTCCATAACTAACTGATTTATAGCAACAACTTAATTTCTGTATCTGTCTAATGTATTCACTTACTGTATTTTCCCATAGTGCAGGGCAGTTTGATTGCTTTGTTGATTCTAATGGTGAATTGAGCACAGCATATGAGGTCTGAATGACTTGCCCAATGGAAGGGTTAGTAATGTGTCACAGACTTGTGAAGTGCACAAGATATTCGATGGTTTTCAGCTGAGATATTCACAATTAAGAATGTCCTTGTTAATTCTACATGCTTTTTAACTTTCACTAAATTGTAGCTACACTTACCAGCATGATGAGAGTTTTCTGGAATTGCTGTATAGCTTGCGGTTAAAGCAGTGTATTCTTGAGTCTCAGTCATGCTGTGAAAGATAAGAAACAGTGACTACATGCTATGATGGAACAGCTCGTGTTCAAGTCCCAGTGCATACTTAAATTGTAATGGTAGACCATGTTAGCTTGCTTGGTGTGATGTAAGTCACTGACTGAAGACATTTTAAGGAGACATAGGGGTAAATTTTCAAAACACTCTGCAAGGTTTTAACTATACAGTGTTTCCAGAAATATCAAATAGGCATCATGGTTAGAAGGAGCAGCTTGGTAATGTCGATACCAGGAGTAAACACTAAAGAATATTTTCCTTTGCTGCTGACATTTTTTTGTTGGCCTTAGCTCTGCCTTTGATGTAGAATTGCAAACTATTGAACTATTTTAAACCAAGGGGGGATTTATTTTTTTTCCTTCGGCTCAGAGGGAAGCCTAATGTAAATTGCAGTAATGTTTTTAATGAACTTGTGGAGTCAAGGTCATAGTTCTACTATCACTTAAAAATACTCCTGTCATAAAGCAAAGCTGTAGTGCCAGATGTGTGGTGTGAATTGTCAGGTATCTTAAAAATTTTGTTCCTGCATAATGATATGTTCAGTGATAACAGAGCTCTGCACCATTGAGATTAGAATCTGTCATCTGTGGCTGAAATTCATAGCTCTATGGTGGCTGTTACATAGATAATCTCAATCCTTTCCTGGTGTGTAAATGTCCCGGTCACAAAAACTTAGATGACAATTTTCAGTAATTGGACCTTTGTTAGCAGTCTGACAAGAGACTCCAATAGCTTCATCGACATGGATCCAAATCTGAGGGGTGATTCTTTCTGAGCTGAAATGAAGCACAACAGCAGTATCTATTGATACAACCTTTTAGGTTTCTTTTCTGTGGTATTTTCTAGAGAAACCAGTTTTTAACCATTTAAAACCTCTAATGCTAATTAAAATTAAAGGAATTCTAAAAGGGAATCTGATATTACCTTTTCAGTATGATATTAGTTTAAAATGTCTCTGAACTTATTTTTATATTTCTTCACAGATTTTTCTAATAGAATATTGTAAATGCTTTTAACTTTACGGTCTCTTTAATTTAAATTACTTTAAAAAATTAGAAGAAAATGTTTGAAAAATACAAATCACATGAAAAGGACTGATGCATAATTTTATTTCTTTTATAAAACCCAATTAAATGCCCTTACAATTTAAATGTGACTACATTTTATAGTTTTATAATTATAGAATCATCTTTTTAATTAATTGGGCTGACAGATTTAGGTATAGAGTGTGTATTTTGCCTGTGGTAGTTATTGTGTAATTAGTATTAATGAAGGATACTACAATTTGGATAGGTGGAATATAGTTTTGGTTCATATGTGAGTCTTTTCTGTCTTACTGTGGTCTGTTACTTCATAGTGCATATGCAATTATCAACTAGAATTACGATCTTTTTAAAAGTGCCACATTTGGTTTTGCAGGGAATGGCAATGGTATTTTTTGTATTAGTGCTGTACTCATGTGCTTCAGTTCTCATACAGGAGGCTCTTGTACCAAAAATTGCATCTGTGTTGAAAAAACTTGTCCTTTTTCCCAGCAGATTTACAGATCTGTAAATTAATTCTTGCTAGAGATTTTCATAAGTTTTCAGAAGAGATGATGAATCATCCAAAGTTTCTACACATGCCCTCTCAAGCTTCATGAGGCTTTGTTTTCCTCTTGGTAGAAGCATCTCAAAGAGGCAAAATGAACTTGGGTTTAAAACATTTTGATAAAGTATGCCTCAAAAGGTTGGATACCTTTTAAAACATACAATGCTGCCTGTCTTAGTAAATAGCCTGCTTGCACTGTGTTGAGTGAGACTGCAAAGATGAAAAACAGAACTGCTTTTTTGCAAGTCAGTTTGAACAGAAAGAGAGAACCTTGCTTTGAAAAGGACAGTTCCTCTTTATCTTCAGTTTCTTTTGTGGGTGTAGTATGTATGTGAAGATATTATGTGTATAAGTGGCACTGACCAAAAGGCAAATCAGAAATTCAGCACTTCAGAAAATGAGCCTCTCAAAGTACACAGATGTTTCATACTGCGTCTGAAGGTTTTTGTTAAAATTTTCCAAGTTGGCACAGGTACAGATATTAGACTGCTAACTTCTTATTAAAGCAGACTACATTGGTAACTTCCCAGTGGGCTTGAAGTTTAAATTTATTTTAATAAGGAAATACAGCCTACTGTTTATGTCAGTACTTATGCAGCGCTCTGTCTCAGTATTCAGCTAAAGTGCATTTGATTCCCCCAGAAATGTTTTTTGAAAACTAGGCTATCAAAATCTGGGGTTTTCAAACATGCCTGAAGAAATCTAATTACTTAGGTGTGTTTGACAACCTGGGGCTTCATGTTTCACATTCTTTTCCAGAATTCCTTTTGCAGATGCTCAGAGTTGCAGTACATGTGTCCTTCAACCATGTAGGAAAATGATCTGACTCTGTGTGTCCTGTCATCTTTTGTGCATAGCACTGTGAAGAAGAACTTGAAAAGAACACAGGGCACGCAACTATTTTTCCTAGTTGTGCTTCATTTATTATCTTCAGAATTAGAGTTTATGTTGGATAATTGATTTTACATCATGGGATTTGGTCAGTTGCAGTAAAGACATAATAGGCTGGAACGGGCTAAAGAAACAATTGTGACAGATCTTAATATTGTGGTGTTAGGATATCACAGGTATTAGTGCACAGTTAGTGCAGGAATGAAAGGTGTTTGTTTGGCTGTCATTATTTTGTGTGACCTTTCCTATTTAATTATATCAGAGCCAGGGATGCCAGATGCAGACTCTCAAGTCTGAGGTTTTGAGCTCAGGTATGCTTGCTGAGGTCTGCTGCATCAGACTCCGACTCAAGGACAAGAATACACTATTGGTGCCAAGGTTTTCTTAGAGATGATACAATCTAGCAAATGTAGATCCATCTGAGGTCCAAGAACCAGAGTCTTTACTGTGTTTCATAAGGATATGAAAAAAGACAAGGAAGAAGAGAAAGGGTGTTTGTCCTTGATCTTGCTGTGGAGACTGGGAAGGCTGCAAGGTGTGTAGCATCCTGAGATTACAGTGGAGACGTCAAGGAATTTGAAGTTTTCTGGACCTGATTTTTGAATGAGAGGTATGTGACAGTCTAGGTTCTTTTCTAGCTTAGTTTGGTAGAAATGCTTCATTTCAAGTTCCTTCATCATGGTGTTTCTATTTAAACTGTGTTAGCTGAGTTCAGTGAGGAAGGATTCTGTCTTAAGGATCTCATATGTGTTGTGTGCATTTTTTTCACCAAAGATTACAGCTTCTGGAGGATTTTTTTTATTTTCCAACTCAGTCTTTATCAGCTTGTGTTTTTTTAACAGCATACTTCACAAGCTGCAGAAGTATAAAACATGTGGGTGTATGCCTTGTTGCATTGTGTCTTTATTTCTTAATCACTTTTCCCCTACCAATTGTGCAGATGTCGTGAATAGATGTGTACCCTGCACAGGAAAGTGATAGGGGTTCCTCCTCCCCTAGGAAAAGTTTCTTTTCTAAGTGCTCCAGAAGGAGACTGTTTCCTGATTAGCAATTGGGAGAACAGTGATAGTGTTGAGGTTATTTCTGGTGACCTGCTCATGCATATCAGCCATCCATCCGCTGATCACTATTGTTGTGAATGTTCAGGGCATACAGGATTTGCTATGGTCCTGTTGGTTCTCGACATGCAAAGTGTTACCAGTCTACTTGATATTTTTGAAGAAAGTGGAGAAGCTGTGTAGTCTTAGTCTTGTAGGCATCTTGAGATGACAAGATGTCACCACCGTTGTGGTGGGCTGATTTATTAAAGTATATCGGGATAGTGAGAAACAAAATCAAAAATTAAAAGAATGCTTTCTTCTCCCTCTTCCCTTCCGTCCCTTTCCCCAGGCTCAACTTCACTCCTTCATCCCAACTCCTCCACCTCCCCACACCCTGAGCAGCTCAGGAGGATGGGGAGTTGTGGTCAGTACACAACAGCTCCTCTCTGCTGCTCTTCCCTCCTCACCCTTTTCCTCTGCTGGAGCGTTGGCTCCTCTCCACAGGCGGCAGCCCTTCAGGGAACACCTGCCCCAGCCTGGGCTCTCCCTTGGCTGCAGGCAAGGCCCTGATCCGTCGCCTGGAGGGCCTCCTCCTGCTCCTCCTTCTCTCACCCTGCCATTCACGCTGCTCTTTTCCACTTGTTTTCCCTCGCTCCTCTCTGCTGTGTGGCGTTTTGCCTTTTGGCTTTCCCAGAGGTGCCACCAGCGTTGCTGAGGGGCTCGGCTATGCCCTGTGGTGGGGCCGCTGCAGAGCCGGCTGGAACCGGCTGTGTCCAGCACAGGGCGGCTCCTTCTCACAGAAACCCTGCAGCCACCCCACAGCTACAGCCTTCACACCTACACCTGAGGCACGCCTTGGCCCAGTTCACACAGCAATGTAATTACATGTATTTCATTGAGATTTCTTTTTCCTGATTAGATTTTATTCAATACTTCTGATTATTCAGGCCTCTCCACATACTGATCTGCAATGCTGCCGTGTTTGGTGCTCCCTGGTGCTTGACGGAGGATGGCCTGGAGTCCACCTTCCAGGTGAACCACTTGGGACATTTCTATCTCGTCCAGCTTCTGGAAGACGTTTTACGCCGGTCATCTCCTGCTAGGGTTGTGGTGGTGTCCTCCGAATCACACAGGTTGGTGAATGTTACCTTTGATTTAGCTGAAAACTTTAATCCTTAGAGCATAAAACAGTTATGGCAGAACCGCAAAACTTTTTGAAAATGAGAGGCCTTACTCTAAAGCATTTGCATTTGAATAATCTTTTTAAAAATAGAAGCATTACTAATGCCTGTGGATGTTACTGGATTTGGCTCTGTTGCTGGATAAAGTGTGTTCTAGTTTTATAATAGTGTGTAGGTATTTTTTGATCATTCTTTGTATGAATGCAGATATTCACCACATTTCAGACCATTCATTGATTTTGTGAGGAGATGGAATAATAATTGATTAAATCTGAATGGCATGACCTATATTGATTTGTCATTCAACAACTTCAACATCTTACCAAGAAGAATGTGCAGTTATTTTAGCAGGAGAAACAATGCAATTAAAAACTGCTAGATGAAATCCAATTGTTTTATAATGAGAAATTAGGGAATTCAATGCAGACATTAGCTGTATAATTGTAAAATGGGAAGTAGTGTAGTTAATACATATTAGAAATCTGGCCATGCCTCTTTTGGTGAATTTTTTAATTAAAATATTAGATGCTCGACTTTTCTACTGCCAGGAGTACGGTTGGCAAAAAAGATGTTGATGAGGTTTGCCTTATTTCAGACATGCTTGCGGTATTTGTGTTAATAACTGAAAAGACAGATTTGATTTAAATAAAGTTCCTTGTGCAAAATGCATGCCTCAACTCTGAATTTTAGTGGGCATGAACCACTTACTGCCTTCTGATTTAGTTCAGGGACTGCAGGATTAGACCTATAACGTCCAGCTTTAAACATTACTGTTGATTTCTGTTTCACTTTTGGTCATGTGTAACAGCTCTAGCAAACCAAAAGGAAGAATGTGTGAGTGCTGCTTTTTTTTTGGCTTTTTTTTTTTTTTTCCCTGCCTTTATATTTCTGAAATGTTTTAGTGACCCAGAACGAAGCTTATTTTTTTAATCATGTTTCCATAAAATGTAACCCCAGGGACCTGGTAGAGAGAGACCAGCCAAGGGTCGGGCTGAAACCTTTATCACTTCCAAACACAGGGGCTTATGGTATAAATGACACACTGCAGATAGATTTACTTTTACCATTTTAAATTTATGATGGCTGAAATGAAAGGAAGCAATAGAAAATGCCAGTAATAATCCTCCCCGGTGTTAAAAGACATGAAATGTCTAGTAATTAGGTGGTAACAAAATGTGGACATCCTTATCTTTGCAAATCACACCAGGTTTGTGAAAGCAAGTAGCAGAGTCCTGTTAGGAGTGAGGGAGGCTACTGCGGGGCAGGCAAGATAGCTCTAGAAATAAATCTGCCAACTCCAATCACTTGCCAGATGTGGAGGGCACAACGGGATATGTATAAATGAGCTGTTATTTAATGGGAGATTATGTTGAATTGTCAGCTGCTTGCTCCCCTTTGTAAGTTTGTATCTCTGATAGTATTTTAAATGACATCTTCGTTTTTCACTGTATTAAGTGCTATGTGTAACTAGAGCTCACATCTCTGAACATCTTTATCTGTGTTTTCAAAAACATTTTTAAAGTGCTCATTGCTAACTCAGTAAGATCAGCCAAGGTTTATAGAAGCCCATCAAACAATAAGTAACAGTCTATTTTTTAATAAAGTAATAAATGCAACTAGTAAATTTCCCTTTTTCTAAGGGGTCCAATTCATGTATTATGGTGTATCTTAACACTTAAACTGATCATTGTAAATAAATGTGCTTTTCCTCTCCTGACCTGTTTAATGGCAAGAAGTTCATGTAAGGAGTTAGTTTAGACATTGGGTATTATTGGGTAGTAGTACTTTCTGACCTACTTGAGAACTCTGAGCCTTAAACTATGTTGTAAAACAGAAGTGTTGGTATCTAATTACTTCCATAAACCTTGGCTGGATCTTTTCGCTGGAGTCAAGACCCCCTGTTAGGGGAAAAATAAAGTCCTGTGCTTGCAGAAGATATTATACTAGACTGCTCCAAGGCAAAATATTTATTTGCCTCTCTGGTTCTTCATTCGTTTCTAGTTACTACTCTGGATTCAGCACAAATGAATTCTGTTTAAATTAAGCTTTTGGGTACTTTAAGCACATTGTATTAAAATCAGAATAATAAGTAGGTTGACTTTCCTTCTGTCTTTATTTCTGTGTTGTTAATTTGATTGTACAGCCCTTATCCTACTGAATTCAATGAGATTGCCGACATAAGTGACTCACATAAGCACACTTGCAGGACTGGACTCAAAATATGCCACCGTGTTTCCGTTATACAGTATACACAAAGTATTTATAGATTATTTTTGGTGTCATAAGTGATTACTTGAGGAATGAATATAGGAAATTCCTCCCAGAATAACCCTGTTAATTTCAGAAATGTATTTTATCTAACCAAAAATTATGAAAGAGAAATGTTGTTGTTGAAATTGAAGGGCTAATTCTGCAAGATACAGAACATCCTGGATTCCTCTTGAGTTCAAATACTGTAGTTGCTTTTCTCTGAGTGTATTATAATTCTGCTCACAGAATGAATGTAGAAATTCCAGCTGATCTCTTCATTTCTGGGCATGAGATGCAAAATTAGTATAGATATTTTGAAACATTTTTCTAGTGTATACTATGATTATGTTTATCCCTGTTCTCCCCAGCTGATTCTGAAAACTCTGAGTATTAAAAAGAGCTTGCTAAATCCTTTTTATTTTTAGTAGCTATTTTGAATGAAACATAGATCTGTAACTAAATGTAGTATTATTTTCTAATATTAAGATATGCCAGTAAATTGAGAAATCAAATTGTAAGAATTGGGGGGAAAAATACTATATGGAAACTTCCTTTTCTTCATCTAAACGTCTTTAGAAGATTCACTACTTTGTTATTAGGAAAAAAAAAAAAAGGGAAAGAAACAAACAGCTGGTGTTTAATGACTCTGTCAGACCCAATTAAAAAACATCAACTAGTTACTTTGATTTGTGTTCAGCCATGCCATGGGTATACTTAAAAACATTATACTCTGCCAGAACTCATTTTGGCTTTGTTTACATTTATCTTTTAAACATATAAGACTATTGATGGCACGTTACCAAGGTTATAACCCCTTTATATTCATCAATTTTTAATCTAAAAAAGAGTCTAAGAGGCAGTAAGACTCATCCATAGTTACTTGAACACTTAAATGAAAGTGTGCAGTATGTGAACACTGGATGAAATAATCAGGGGAAGGGAAGAAGGGGAAATGAAAGGATGCTGATTTTTTTCTGCTTCTAATGCAGAGTTATTTTATCCTACATTATATCCTCCAAGTTGATTGTGCTTTCATGGATCTATGGCAAAATCTTTTTTTTTGGATTTCAAATAAAGTGATTTGTAAGTTATATATGATGCCATTGAATCATTAAAACTTTTTTTGACTTGTTTTTATTTATCACTTGCTTTTGCTAATTATTCAATAATTTTACTGCCATATTGTATGGGACTATTCCTTGGGTCTCAGGTAATTTCCAGTAGATGCTTTCAACTGCCAAATAAGCTGTTGTTTTATGGTGGTTCTGGCCAAGTTCTACTCTGTTGTCTACATTTTATGTTGTTCTTAATGAGAGTGAAATTAACTCTGGGGTATCTAAGGCATATTTACTGTTTTTTAGATTTACAGAAATTAAAGACTCCTCTGGAAAACTTGATTTCAGCCTGCTTTCTCCATCTAAGAAGGAGTATTGGGCAATGTTGGCCTACAATCGTTCCAAGCTTTGCAATATACTGTTCTCCAACGAGCTGAACCGACGCCTTTCTCCCCATGGGGTGACGTCTAATTCAGTCCATCCTGGAAATATGATTTACTCCTCCATTCATCGTAACTGGTGGGTGTATACCCTGCTGTTTACCTTGGCTCGACCTTTCACCAAATCCATGGTAAGTGAATGGCTTAGTATTTTACATATCTTCATTTTTAAACCAGGGGAGTAAGGTTATAAAAATCCAGATGTATGTATCTGCTTTGACCTATTGCCTTTTATGACTACGACCCTGATTTTAATGACAAACATCGTGCCAAGATAGCTCTCTAGAAGAGGATTCTTCCACCATTTTAAATTAACTTTGTCAGTCTTCAGGAAAGGTGCTTTGTTAGAGTGCATGACTTCCTTGTTTGAATGTATGATTTTCACTGTGATCTTAGGTGTGGGATAGTTTAGAGTTATTTCTGTGCTCAGTATATGTAAAACATCAAAAAAATTGCGTTAGTTTTTAAGTGGAAAATGCTTGACTGCATTTTTTATGTAAACAGATGCCCCAGTTAGAAAAGATCCTACAGACATTATTAATGGCTGAGGGAAAGTGCTTTCAGTGGTAAAAGCACCTTCATTCATATTTAAAAAAACAAAACAAAACAATCAACCCAGCCAACAATTTTCTTGATTCCTACAAAGGACTGAAGGCAATGGATGTTTTCCCTTTGTCTCCATTGGACTTTGGACTGGGACCGTGACATAAGGAAAGGCTACGCAGTTCTCATAGCCAACATTATGAGGCTTCATTATATAAGAATTTACAGCATCCCCAGCGCTTGGAGGGGTTAATTTGTCCCTTGAACCTCTGACCCAGGTTATTTATAAGTTGTCCAAAGTCTTTTTTTAGGCAGAGAATGACTTTTACTTAATTGAGAACTGTCTTCCTTTAACCTTATTGACTGTTTCTCATCCCTTATTCACTGACAAAGAAGGGTATTCCCAAAAGTGGAGCAGGAAGAGGGAATCTCCCTTGAATGTTTGCAGCTATGAATCAGGGAAATGAAAAGATTCTACCCTTGCAGAACTTATCTAGCCATGATAATTTGTTCAAGCTGAAAGCAGGCCACTTCTACAGAAGACTTCACAACTGACAAGAGTGGTTGTGGTGTAGCATAACTTACTGTCCCCCTCAGCTGGCAATACAGACCAAATTAATTGGTTTTATTTGAAAAAGAACAAAGAAATAGTTGAGGCAGAAGGATCTGTCCTTAAGTAGCTTAATCTACCTCATAACCTGTAGTAGCTAAGCAAATTGGTGGTAGAACTTGTATGTATAGCTGCACAAAAAAGTTTGCTTGTACATTTCATTATCATTGAGATAATAAAATTAATCTTAATTTATACTGGGTTAATGTAAGCGGAAAACATGTCTTACAGTGTTTAAAACTCTGCTTACATGTCCAAAAAAGAACAGCTTCTTGAACAATACTGGATCTTCAGTAAGACCTGTGGAGCAAAAAATACAAACACTCTGGTGTGGTGCACGGACAATGTGTCAGTCAGGAGAGTCTTCACACCTCTAACCTCTGCGTGCAGTTTGCAGCCTGTACATATGCAAAACCTATTTATGTCCATGAGATTGGTAACTGAGCATTCTGGCACCGTGGGACAAGTAATAATATCTTTCAACAGCATGGTTTTTGACCAGGACCTTTAAAACCATGTCTCTGCTGTGTTAGGTATTGTTTGTAAAACAAATTCTTGAAGTTCTCCTGAGAACAGATAAGTGAATGTTATCAATGTCCTGTGAAAAGGATCCGGTTGGTGGAACTTTTATGAATTGTTAGTTTTATTTGCTCTGACATATTTTCACAAAGGAACCTTTTGTGTTTGTTGCTCAGATAATCACATCCTCTAAGGAACAAAATAAAACACTGAAGTTCATTTTGAGTTCTTTAAAGCAATTGATAGAGTTTTTTACATTATCTATTTATTTATGGAGGTACATAAAAGAGAATACAAAATATAGTACAAAAAATATCATCACTGAATAATAGTGCACTCTAGTGCACTTCTGTACATCCTTCGTGTTTGTATGTATTTCGCTGAGGTTATTTCAATGTTATGATGGAGAGTACGGATTGAGGGTAAGCATCAGTTTTATAACTTGTATTCTGATATGAATTGTTATGTTCCCCTGAACCTTACCAATGTTCTGTTTGCCAGTAAAACTAGAAAAGTGCGCCTTCCTTGGTATGCAAACAAGCTGAGCTGAAATTCTCAACATCATCAGTATAAGAGTTTTTCTATTTTAAGATTTGTAGATAGCAAATGATTTGCTGCTTCTCCACTTTTTTAGGGACTGTGCTGTCATCAACTTGGAGCAGACTTTGTTGAGGATCTTTCTATGGGCTTCCTCTCAGTATTTCTGTGGCGGCTTACCCCAGAATTTAGATGAGTGTTTTGGACAGAACACTGGGTGTATATCTTAAAGCTTAAAGCTGCAGTCCCAGGGTTGTCAACTGTACGTTCCTGCGTTTTGCAAGTATGTCTGCATTGCACAATGCAGCATGATGCAGCAGCATTTAAAGTAGCTGCAGCTGAGCCTGGTCCATAACTGGAATTGAGGGATCCGTGTCAAGGTTGTGTGGAGAGAGGGAAGGTTTATCAGTTCAGACAAGGTGCCATGCAGATATGCCTGTACCAATTTTGATCTCTGAGGCAGCAGCTTTAGCTGCTGCAGCATTGTGGTACGTGGAGAGCCTAATCCTTCTGGAGCCAGATTGAAGCTCTTTGCTACATTTTGAACTGTAGGGACTCCTGGAGTCTGTATAGATACATGCACATATATGCATATATGTATATACACACAAACACACACAGGCTGCAGCTGCATATACCTGATTCTAACTAGGGCCTTTTGGTATTATTGTAGTAAAAGCTGTTAATAAAAAATAATTACATTTTAAATTTGTATTTCACAAAAATAGACTTACTAGATGTTCTGAGAGTGGTGAATAGCTCAGAATAACACTCAGAATTTCAGCTTTTTTTGAACTTTGATGCTAGATGCAGGAGAAAATTAGAAAGTACATTTGTTTCCCTACTAGTTTTTTCCAGAACAATAGAATTCTTACGTTCTGTCCTGGCTGCAAGTTGCTACTGAGAAATCAGTCTTCGTGCCTTTGACTTAGTTGTCATCATTTTCTGTGTTACTTTTAAAATCATCTGTTTAAAGTTTACTTACTAGAAATCACAACAGTTTAGTAATTATTTTGTTCTGTTTCCAACAATGAAGAAATACACATTGTGTATCTGAAATATATTTTTTTAATGTAGTATTCAGTTCTTGAATGTTGAATAGCTCCACTTTGGTTGATGAGGGTGTAGTGTTTTCTTCAGAAATGCATGCTATTGTGTACTGTGAATTGCCATTTTGGGGAGAGTTCAAGCAGCCTCTGGCGTGTGGCACTTGGGACATTCAACTTGATAGAATTTAACCTAGGAAACACTGCTGGTAACTGTTCAGTTTTAGCTGATTTCCTGAAGCACTGAGAATCAGTATTCTACTATCACACTTTTATTTACCTGTTTGCTGTTATTTGCTGTGACTACGGTGACTTAATTTCAGTAATTAGGACACTTTATGAAGGCAGGTTATTTTAAGTTTCTACTTAAAGAAAAGATTTGCAGGTCACTTTGTCTGTTCTTTTAGGAAAAGAGATTGTCCTGGTTAGAGATTCTTACTTAGGTAGGTTTTATCTGTCTTTCAAGTATGAGGCTTTTAGAGGCATAGCTTTAGTTGCTTCTGTAAATGGTCATACCTTACTGCAAGAAGAAATGCAACTTCACATTTTCCAAACCTGTTTTATGAGTGACTACAGCATAAAAAAAATAAAAATTGTGGTATGTTTGTGCTGATTATAGTGAACTCTTCTGTTGAATCAGAAAGAACTGTCTGGTCAGGTTTTGAAACATAACACTGTATTTAAATCACTGATGGTTATAGACACACAGGAAGTACTCTTGGTCAGTAGAACACTGGAAACTGAAAGACTGTTGCTTTTTTCCCACCCACATCTTTTCAAGATCTAAAATCTACAAGGACTTGGTAGGCAGAAATGGAGAACAAGTTTTTTTTTTTGTAGAAAGCAATGGTTGCAAATAAATTACCATTTTATTACTGTAGTAACTGTAGCTCTACTAATGTTCAAAGGGCTGCTCTTTTACTTACCACTATATAGTTACTCAGTAAATTGGAGACTGTTATAGTATAATTAAATGTCAATTGAAACAAGCGACCACTGTAAATGACAGATTGGCAGAGAAGCTCTGAAAGTAACTGTGTAGGCCATGCATATGCTTAGCTGGTTTGATCTAAGGCTTTCAGGTTTTGCTTCCTTGGGCTTTTTTGGGGCTCTTTTTTACTTTTTGTCTCTCTCTTTCACTCTCCTTTTGTCCTTCTCTCTCTTCCTCTCTTTTTCTCTCTCTTCTTGAAAGTTGGCTCAAGAACAGTTTGACTAAGTTGTATCTTTTGTTTTAAATTGATGCTAGTCCTTCAGAACCCATCTGATTTGTTACTATTTACATACAAGATTAAAATTAAATAAATTTATCATAAGTTTCGAGCTTACACTGAGTATGTTATCTAGTGTCACCCCCAGGTGATTTTGTGAGTGTACAATGGCATATAAAATTAGAAGCAGAGTGCCATTATCACAGGCTTGTGATAGCCTTACATAGAACCAAATATTTTTGTTGGCAGGTAACGGAGCAGAAAGAATATCATGTGTTAGAGTACCAAGAGCTTAACAGATGTTTCAGTGAACTGAATTTTCAAATCCTTTTACATTAAGAAATGGCTCGGGTTTGTAGAAGTTCCGAGACTATTGGGTTACATTTCCTGTTGCAGTGCAAAGCCAGCCATTGTGCTAGAGTTTTAGCAGATGTGTTACCCCCTTTTAATGGTTGGGAATAAAGCATTGGTTCTGTTGCTGAGATATAAATTAGAACTAGAAGAGCTCAACCTGTCACCTTTAAGCATCCAGTTAGCTGCAGTAAGACCATTTTCCCCTTAATTTTTCACTGTCTAAGAGACTGATACTTGAACTGCTCTTTGGTTTCTCTGTCCTCCCCCAAAGATAGTAGCTTTTCAGAACTGGATTTTGTATTTAAAGTATTTGC